CACCACTGCCATCTCGGTGTAAGTAAATAATCTTTTAAACTACCGCTACGCGTCCGTGCCTAATTCCAGCTCGAAGGCCTTCCCTCTCCGCCCCGGCGTGCCCGGGCTGCTGGCCACAGCCCGCGTGCAGTGTGAAAAGGGCTCGGGTCGCTCCCGGCCCGCACAGTTGCAAAGAAGGCTAACAGCATACTGGGCTGCATTGGTAGGAGTGCTGCCATCAGGTCAAGGGAAGTGATTATGCCCCTCTATTCAACACTGGTGAGGCTATATCTGGAGTACTGTGTTCAGTTTTGGGCCCCCACTACAGAAAGGATGTGAGTAAATTGGAGAGGGTCCAGTGGAGGGCAACAAAAATGGTGAGGGGGCTGGGACACCTGACTTGTGAGGAAAGACTAATGGAACTGGGCTTATTTAGTCTAGAGAAGAGAAGACTGAAAGGGGATTTAATAGCAGCCTTCAACTAACTACCTGAACAGGGGGTTTAAAAGAGGATGGAGCTGTTGGAAGTGGTGGCAGATGACAGAACAAGGAGCAAGTTGGTTTCAAGTTGCAGGAAGGGAAGTTTAAGTTTGATATTAGGAAGAATTTTCTTACTAGGAGGATAGTAAAATACTGGAACAGGTTACCCAGAGAGGTTGTGGAATCTCCATCTGGAGGTTTTTAAGACCTATCTAGTTGGGGGTGGTCCTGCTTTGAGCAGGAGGTTGGACTAGATGACCTCCTGAGGTCCCTTCCAACCTTAATTTTCTCTCATTCTCTGAGAGAAATTATATCCAGTGTGGGATAAATTTTCTGCTCCTTGGAAATGGGTGTAACTTCATTGATATTAGTGGAGCTCCACTGAATGGAGTTGCACCAGTTTGGCCCTGCAAGCTTTTCAGATCCATGAATTTGTGTCCCCCAGTGAATACACGTTTTTCTTGAACAAAATCAGATATCCATATGACAGTAAACATAAAGTAGATATGTGTAAATCTATTAAATCTGGAAGCAGCTAATTGAAGCACATCTTATCCTTAAAATATACTCTCACCCTCTTGCCCACACTTAACAATTTAATAAAACATTCACTTCAAATTTCAAATTCAAAAGCAAAATATTTTACAGTACAATTTAATACCAAAATGTGAACTTCACAATAACTGCAACTCGTTGTATTCAGGTTTGGAAGTATTTTTTCTTTGTTACTTTCCTGTTTGCTTTCCTTATCATCCTGTTAGCTATAGAGCTGTAGCTCAAGACTAAACAGTGTAAAGCAGGGATTTTCACTGTGCCTTTAACACAAGTGCTCTACTCTTCGCGTGGCTGTTTTGAATGCAGTTCCTTCAGCACCTACAAGCCCCAGAATCTACGTGCTCCATTACGGCCCATATGAAGGAAAAGAGAAGGCCCTTGTGGAATTCAGATGGGATAAACCCAGGAGGGAAAATGGAGCACTAACAGAGTTCAGAATTTACTACCAAATAGGAAACCAAAGTGATGCTAATGAGAATTTTACAGAATGGAGTATAAGCAAAACTGCACCCTCTGTAATGTCCTTTTCCCTCAAGGCTGTGCTTCCTAGGCTCACAATACGGTTCCAGGTATGAAAAATTTATGATGTGATTTCCTTAATTTAAAGCAATAAACATGATACATTGTGTTAGTTTGTGATTAACACAAGACTTAGGGCCAAGCCTTCTGGTTTCTGTTCCTGGCTGTCTCACTGATTCAGTTTTGGATTTTAGGTATAATACTTAATCATTTTGTGGCAGGGAAAATAATACTATTTCCCCTAGCAGGACTATTATGCAGGTTTGGAGTATCCTGAAGGAAAATGTCCTTGTAGTCTCCCAGCTGCCTGTTAATAGCAGCAGATTAAGGACAGTTCCCACTTAGGTCTGAATCCTGGGCTGCCTGAGAGTCGAGGATCCAACAGAATTTAGATTCACAGATGAAGGATAATCCTGTTGATGGAGAACAGTAAGGATTTTGGTGAAACCTAGCAGTCTCTGCTGGCCTTTACCGATCCTTGTGTTTAAATTTAACATGCTCTTAGATTTTGCATGATGAGGGGAGCTGTGAGGGACCCCAGGATGAATGACTTGGTACCATCTTAAATTAAAAATACAAGAGGCCAGGAGAGTAGAGCATGTGGTAGGCCAAGCATGGAAACAGCAGCAGAAGCCTCTTACATGAGAAACGGAAAAGACTCTCCCCATTCCTTTAAAGCCTAGTAAAGCCTGACAGACATAGAATTGCACGTGCACTCAAGTCTTGATCTAGTGAAGTACATAAGCATGTGAGTAGTCAGAAAGTTGGTTTATGTTCTTATAATTAAGCATGAGTTTAAATGCTTTTTTTTAATTGTGCTCCTACTGGAGCTGGGTGATTTTATTTAACATTTTTTGTTTAATTTATCTTCAGGTACAAGCCTTGACATTTGTGGGTCCAGGACCTCTTTCTGATATAGCAGAGATTAAATCCACAGGTACCAGCATTCACCTAGAGCTTCAAACAATGTAAAAACTCATGCATGATACATACTGCCCCAAGTAGCAAATGCATTTGGTAATAAGGTATACAGCCTTCTACTAGTAAGTGGCTGATGCAAATCTACCTCAGATTGGTAGTGGCTGTGGATGTTTCGTGCAAACAGGCACAAATTCAGATCCTCTATCTGAAGGCAATTGTCACATACTTTGCTGTAGCTACTGTCTGATGTAAAATACTAAAACAAAATTTAAACTATTTATTGGACTACTGTAAAACATTCATAACTACAAAAAACAAACAGTTTGATCTCCAGAAAAGTAGCACACATGATGTGGGGAATAGAGCCCAGGATCTGTTCCAAAAATTACAAGCCCCTCTCCTTTTATGCTGAAGAAGTTTCTCTGTTGACTGTCACTTACTTGTATTTAGACATACTTCCTCTCTCTGCTCTACTCTATCTGCTGGGGGATGACATTATTGCAGACTATGGGTGGCTGTGGCATTCCATCTACTGCAGGACATTATAAAGCAATGGCATCCAACTCATTTGGCCCTGTGAGCCTATCCATGGGCTGGATCCAGAGCTCAGGGCTATGTCATCTGGCACACAGGGCCAGAATTTGGCAGCAGCTGCATCTCCTCCTGACAACAAATTTCTATCCCTGCGGGCAGTGCCATGAACCAGATGATGTGGTTTTGCACTCTGGATCCTGGGTGCAGAGCTCCCCATAGGTCTGGAAAAGTTATGGTAGCATGAGCAGTGGCGGTATAAATAGCTAGGAGCCATGACAACTAATGCTACCACTGCTCACTGCACTGCAAAATTTCCAGACTCATGAGAGCCCTGCAGGCTAAGTGATATGCCTCCACAGGTTGATTCCAGTCTGTGGGCCATATTTTGGTCACCTCTGGTATAAAGAATAGCCTAACCAGAACTGTGGTGAAACTATTGTTGTCCTGCTAGATTTCCCCCTTCTGGATATTTGCCATGCCATTGTGTTTAAACCTTGGACATGGGGTCCCTATAGTCCTCATTTTCTGAGTCTGAGTAGGCTTTAGTACTGTGTTTCCTTGGCCTTCCTAGCATGATTCTTGCACATAGACTTTCTTTGTGTTATCTTTTTATGAATATGACTAGTTACATAAGCACCACTTTTCCTAGTGTCTCAATTTTTGGGCACCCTAGCTCACAGTTTACTTAGGATAAGCATAGGATAGCATAGGATATAAGCATAGGATAGTGGAAGAAACAATGCACAGGCTTTGCAAAGGTTCAAACCCACCACTCTTTACATAAGGTAATACACAACAATTTTCCTATCTCAGTTTCCTCACTGCTCTTGAGCATACTTTGGTATTAGGCCACAGACCACTAAAGAAAGTCTAGGATCCTTTCCCATTTCCAAACCATGGCTTACTCCCAAGCCCCCTATAGTCTCTGTTTCTGTTTGTCTCTCCCTCCCCGTTCTTCCTTATTCCACAGCTTTGCCCAAAGTGAAAAAACATGTCCCATTATCAAAGTCCTGCTACAGCCACAATTAAAAAGGAGCCGTCTGCCATGAAAACAAATCCCATTATTCCTCTCTGCTACCTAATTTTTTTTTGTCTCTGTGAATCTCTTTTGAGTTTTTAATTATGACATCCTGGAGAGAGTTTGGAGAAAACTTAGGATATAGTTACTCCTTGTGCTCTGCCAAGGTATAAGACCAATTCAGTTGCTGATGGTTATTAATAATCCGCCATTCATGGATAGGCAACTCGGCAATACTTCCCTGTCTCCTCAGCTCAAGTCTGAAGCACCAAAGATTCATGAAATCAAACTAGAGTTTATAAGTTGTACATGGGCCATTTTCTTGACTCATTACATTTAGGGCAGATTTTTTTTCCATTTGTGTCTCTAAATGGCAACTTTGTGGTTGTGTACCTAGGCATGTTGCCTGCATATCCCAAGACTGTGCTGGAAAGTTGGCGTGCTACAGGTTCAAACCTCTCTGAGAGAGGGAGGACCTTGAACCCAGGTTTCTTGCTTCCTAGGCAGCTAATGCTCTCCTGTATCCTAACCAAACTAAAACAGGAGGGCCTTCCTCTTTCTAACATTCATTAGTCATAGATTTCTGGCTGAGTACTTTTTTGTGACTTAAAAGCACTTATGCATCTAGAATGGATATGCATACTGTCATGGGTTTGCCCCACCAGGGTATAGTCTACTGCTGGTGCTTCATCTACATATGCATACATAGGTGTCTGCAGCACAGGAGTAACCAAATTGTGAATTGAACATAAATGTCAAAAATGCCACTTGCATAGCTAAAGATCTGGCATTTGGGTGCAGAAAGGGTCATAGAATTGTGCTCTTTTTTCTTGAATGATAATTTTGTGTATTAAAATTCTCAGATATAAAACATCCTTTCCAGGTACTATTATTCTCCTTGTTTCAGTTTACTCTATGGTTGAAATCATGCAGACAACCATTATATTAAAAACCTACTTTTAAACTCAAATAACAGTTTCCTAGAGCATTGGAATTATGATTGTTTTCTGAGAACTATACTAGCTTAATTATATTCCAGGCTACATTGCTAATTAGTCTAGAATATTAGTTCTAAGGGTAGGAAGAAAATTATGGTGGAAAACCATCCTAAAACTGTTCTTAAAACAAATGTATATTTATACAGTAACACATTTTAAACACAGGTTATACAGAACCTTACCTATGTTTGTTTAGGTGCCTGACTTCATACTCTTTCTTCCCCAGATCTTTTTCCAGTTCCAACTCTTATAACTGTTTCTTCCAATGAGATGGCCCTCATTGACATAGATAGAAATCAGACCATCAAGAGTCTTCCCATAAAAGATGTAAACCAAATCAGTTACACTGCTAATGATGAAACTATGTATTACATAGAGGAAGATTGTCTTTTTCATCTGAACATACCAAATAATTCCGTGCTTCAGGTATTCTACTATTTATTCTCTTGCTTGAAAAGAGCCTGTAAAATATATGATTATTGCTGTTATTTTGTGAACAGCTATATACAGGTTATAGTTACAGCATTAATTTTGCAAGGAAGAGCATGATAAAAATTACTTTTAACATCAAAATATATTGTGCAAAACAGTGTTGAATGCAGATAATATACTTATTTAATTATTGCCATTTCTGGTGAGATGGTTAATGAAATGACTGGGCTGTTTTGAATTTTTTTACAATATAACAAAAATCTTCAGTTTGGAAAACTAATTTTACTTATACTTTTATTATCCATAGATTTTTAGACCTGGTCAACATTTTTAAGTGGACAGTTGGATATGAAAACTATAGTTTCATTGGAATGGAATTATTTTTCTAGAAAATGGCAATTGGGCTTAAAATAGATTTTCTATTTTTATTGAATTAGCATTTTGAAATAAAACACACAATTTCAATATGTGATGACATTTAATTTAATTTTTGAGAGAACAGAAAAAACATGCAGTATTGAAATGCTGATTCAGAACATAGCTGGGTTTTTGGTTGTAGCCGTGTTGGTCTAAGGACATAGGCAGGCAAGGTTCTTTGAGTAGATGTGATAACTTTTATTAGATAAACTGAGTAGATTCAGAACATTGTTGTTTTTGCTTGTTTCACAAAGTTTGAAATTTTTAATTGAATCTTTTTTTTGTGTGCGTTATTTTAACTTTTTGCTCCACTTCAGAGTAATTTGGAATGGAAACTAATTTTATGGGCAAATTCCCCACAGGATGAAACATTTTGTTTTCTTAGCAGCACTATTAATTTTTAAATTAATTTTCGTTAAGCTTTTCAAAGATGGATATCTCCGCAATGCCACAGCTATTGCAATTGACTGGATTGCAAGACATGTCTTTGTTGCCCACAAAACATTGTGGAGTGGAGCTGAAATATTAGTTATTGATCTTGAACTCAAGGCAAGATCACTTAAAACTTTGAACATACAGCCAACTAATCGAAATTTGACCATATCATCTCTGCTGGCATTTCCTTTCTTAAGGTATGATATAAAATGATTGATAACTTTTGTTTTTACTGTAATTGTAACATGACCATTTGAATTAATTCATGGATTTTTAAGGCCTAAGAGTTTTGCAGTTGTTTGGATCAGTCTTTTGCATTACACAAACCATAGGAATTGCAGAGTAAAATTCTGCTTTCATAATTTCTGGGTGATTAAGAGCAGTGGTTCCTAAATTGTTCCCTGTTCTAACAAAAGTTTGATGGTTATGGTGTACAGTACAGTAGCCTGTGAGAAATTTTGAGCATTGACAGTGGTCCTGTGGTCCAAAAAAGTTTGGAAACCACATAGCTAGAGTAGGTCCAATAACTCCTTGCTTCACATATTTTCTAGACTGTCATGGCTACAGCAACACTTTTTTCCAAAAAAAAGCCATTCTTGGTTTAGAGCAGTAATTCTCAATCAGGGTGCCATGACACACTGGAGTGCTGTGAGAGTCTTTCAAGAGTGCTGTCGAGTGCTGCACAATTAGTACTCTTAGGTGTGCAAACACCTGTACATTTCACAAATAAACCCAGAGAATTTAAATAGGAATCCATAGTGTCAAACATTCTGACTCGTTGTGGTCTTTCTGAGTTCTTTGCAACAAAAAAATAGTTCCTTTATTTTTCTACAGTCAAAAAAAAAAGAGTGAAAGCTAAGAGCTGGTATTTTATGAAGAGTGTATTGAGTATAAAAAGATTGAGAACCATTGGTTTAAAGACTTCAAGTGTTAACTATATTGACATGCAATTGCATGTATAGGGAAGTAAAATCAAGTCAGTACACAAATTACAGCTTTTTACAATGTGCAAATTGTTCTATTTATGACAAACCTTGTTTTAAAGATGTGCAAAGACAAAAAAAGCCACATAGCAGTAACAGAGAGTTCCATATTTACAGTAGCTATTAACATTAACTACAATATTCATTCATAAGATTATATTTAGGATGGATTGTCTTGAAATTCAGTGTAGATAAGTGTAATGTGATACACCTGGACAAAAATAACTCAAATTATACCTACACTATAATGGGCTCTATATTATCTGTTACCACACAGGAAAGAGATCTAGGAATCATTGTGCACAGTTCACTAAGTGCATCAGCTCAGTGCCCAGCCGCCATCAGAAAGACAAGCAAAATGTTAGGGATTATTAAGAGGGGAACTGTAAACAAAACTGGGTGCATCTACATGTTCAATTAACATGTAGCAATAGACTTTGGTGCAGTTTGCGCTAGCGTTTATTCCTGGGCACCATGTTTATGTGTGTGCCTGGGACCACAACACGTTGAGCTGGGGTGGAGCAGCCAGTCACGTCACGATTTACTCATGTGTTTCGGTGCACTAAACTCTGCCATAGGATAGTACTTGTTCTGAACAGCAGGGCCGGACACAGGCATGGGTGAACTGGATGGCTGCCTGGTGCCTGGACAGAAAGGGGGCCCCAGAATGGTAATTTGTTGATTATTATTATCATTATCTCTGGTGAAGGGGGGTACGATACTAAAAGTTTGCCCGGGTCCACCAGGAGTCTAGGAATGGTGCTGCTGGACAGTACTATTCTACAGTGGAGTTAATTAATTTTCTGAGCCTATTAGAGGCACATGTGTAGACAGTGATGCTTTACTGTTGAGCTATTTAGTCAACTGCAGTAAAGTGCACATGTAGATGCACAGACAGAAAGTATCATTATGTTCCTTTATAAATCCATGTTGCATCCACATCGTGAATATTGTGCCCAGTTCTGTTCCCCACACCTCAAAAGGATAGAGAAAACCTAGAAAAGGTACAGAGAAGGGCAACAAGGATGGATAATGGTATGGACAAGATGGACCTATGGTCTGACCCAGTAAATGGCAATTCTTATGTTCTTAACAAGGTTTTTCTATTGTAAATTATCCACTTTGTTTGACAGTCGTCTGTACTGGATGGAAACCCTTGATTATGGTGCTTGGATCTTTTATTATGATACTTTGAATAACACTGCATACCATGTTTTGGGGGACACATCTTTAAAACATCAGACAAGAAATAACTGCAGTTGCAACCTAACTGAAACAGACCTAGGTAGAGCAATGACTATAGATATGACTGACTCAAAGAAACCACACATACTCTTTGTCAAAGGAAGGGATGAAATATGGGCCTCAGATATGGATGGATGCTACTGCTGGAGAGTTATCCATGTTCCTAGTCATCAAGGTAAGTTGCTCCTATGTATTCATAGATGTTTTGAATTCTCATTTAATAATTGTTTTCAACACTGTTCAATTGGAGGATTTACTTTTCTGCAAAAATAATGCAGTGCATACAAAATTAACTACTTTGAGGACAAGGAAAAGAAATATTTACATCTGAATATTCAATTTCACTCTCATTGGAGAGCACAGGAAAGAATAGTATGAAAGTATTTGAAACATATTGTTAGACCCCGACTCCATGCAATGCCCAACGATTAGGGAGACAATGGATCAATGCCATCACGCATCACTTGCACACATTGCTCATCAAACAGCTTTATTCAAAATGGAGACAGCTTTGGGCCAGGTCCAGCAAACTGGGGAGCTGCAGTGAACATTAGTTCTTTCCACATTTATACACCTTGGTTCATGCTCATTAACATTTACTCCACCTTTGTCCCTCCTTTGTTCCACCCATATTCCCTTCTATCTCGAGCTCCACCTCGGTTTATTGTTTACTTGATTAGCATGGAATTGCCTATGCATTTTACTTATTTGCATGTCTTTTTGCTATGAGCACATGCCTAAAACTCTGACCCCAGCTTCTCTCAGTCACTTGCGACTTCTTGCTGATTTCTTCACCATCCCCAAAGTCTTGCTTCTGCTTATCTCCTAACGATAGCTGGTGGCTGCATCCTGTTCTATTTACACAATGAGCTATATATCTTGCGACACTGCTACAGTGTTAGAAAAATGCTTGCCTAGGCGTCTTGCAATGTTTCTTTTAATATATCATTCTGCCTTGTGGTTAGCAGCTTTGCTAGGCCACAGGTTATAGCCTTGCATTCGGCTGCAAATCCAATGCTCCCTAAGATCCAAATATAGTCATCCTAACACATATGTTGCCCATTAAGTCATCAGTCATACAGACATGTATGACTGCATCAATGCTATTGCCAATGGATGCCAGTATATTTACTTTATTACCATAGAAATAGAAAGGTTAGTATTAGGAAGTTGTTCTGAAGATGTGAACATTTTTTTTATATATAAAATGGCTTTACTTTGCTGACTACTTTATAATGCTAAAACAGGATCTTAGTTGCTTCATTTCAGCCTAGTCCTGGAAACTTTATTCAGAGACATGAGTAAATTTGTATTTTTACAAAATATCCTTCAGTGTTCCTGCACAGCAGGCAGGACATTGCTTTTAAGATCTCATCTTAGGATTTGAACACCTGCTGCAATTACTGTGGAATAATTTACCCCTGAATTTACTCTGTAGTAAGGACCAGCTCTCCTGAGCTAGGTATAGACATTAGGCACTATTATGGCACTTGTCCCTGAGGTGGTGGGAGAGCCAGTTTGTACTGAGCAAATGATAACTCCAGGAGGAAAATGGCTGCAGGAATGGACACAGAACGTAGTAAAGTTACTACACATTTTTCAAAGAGTAACCTAACTCCAAATTTCAGTGATTCACTATACAGAAGAGCTGAGCATCATTTGTCTAGTGTATAGTAAGTATCTCATGGATCTGTACCCATGGAAAGAGACTAAAGGATTTCAGTAATGATAAAGAATTATCTACATTTTATCTTATAGGATTAAAGGTTTTGGTAACTGAACTCCAACAGAACTTATAACAAAATTTATATAAGAGAAGGAAAATGTTGGAAGTCTGTTTCAAGGAGAGATTTTAAAGGGCATAGATGAGAATTAGGTGTCTGGCTTGCTTTCATAGCTATTGAACAACTATCCACCTATTCTTTTGAAAATGTCCTCCTTAATTTTCATCCCAAAACTTAATGTTTTTTCTGCAGATATGACTTTTGGCAGTTTGACGGTTGACAGACAGTTTATATATTGGAGTATCATAACAAAGGACTATACCACAATTTATCAAGCAAATAAAGAAAGCAAAGCACTCTTCATCCAGGAAAGAGCATATGGAAAGTTGCAAATCTTAGCCTACAGCTTAGTCATGCAACCCTATCCAGGTAACAGGTTTCTAGAAATATTAACACCCTTTTTTAACCTTAGATTGTAAATTAGCCTATTTGTGTATATTTAAATTTTACCAGCTGATTGCAAATACATTTCAGAAGAAAATAGATAATAAGATACACATTTTGGGAGGAAGAAGGAAAGCTGGTTACATGTATATCATATATAAGATCATAATTACAGTGGAGGCTACATGTACACCATGAGCATGGCATATGAGTGGTTAGACAATAAGTAAGAAAAGAATGTGTAGATCTATAAAGGTTTAGACTTCCTGGTGATCTATAGGGTTTATATTTCTAATGGCAGAAAATCAGAAAGGCCACTAGGACATTTAGTATATTATAAATAATTAGTTAAACTAATACATGAGTTCTCAAACTTTGTGATACCATGACCTCGAGTGCTGGATGGAGGCGGCAGGGGATGGGGAACTCCCTGTCTGCCATCCACCACTCTGCACTGCCGCCATGTGCCACTTCCCTGCATTGTTGCGTGTACCCCCTGGGAAGTTTGTGTCCCCTTTTAAGTGGCTCATGGTCTCCCGGGAGGTCGTGACCCACAGTTTGAGAACCTCTGAACTAATAGACTAAAAAGCTCCTATTTTAATAGAACAACCCCCTTCACAGTTAAGGCCTAACAACAAGCTGCTGGCTCTATTTTCATTCTTTTAGGAACAGCTGGCAAATCTTCACTTGCTCACAGCAGCTCTGAACCAGCCTTGTTTTGCTTCATACAGATACTTTGGCTCAGTTTATTCCATTCAAATCTGTGTACAGAGAAAGCTTGGTGATCTGGCACTAGTACAGGGAGTACACATTTCTAAGGAGGGATCTTGCTTCCTGAAGATATCCCTTGATATATTTTAATGGGTTTGCAAAGAAGGGCTAGAACTGTAGCTCACTAGAAGGATACGCAACATTCTATGAGTTTTAGCCCTGTAGAGATAAACAGCTAATAAGAAAAACCCTGTTATCTTCATTGTCTTCCTGGTGAAGGCAAATGTAGTATATTAAAGTTTGATATTTTTAAAGAATAGTTTTTGTGGCTGATACAATTATTTACTTCATTAGCCATATGTGCATATATTTTGTTGTAGCTTTTCTCCATTCTAACCCATTTTATTGCCATACAGTGAGGCAACAGTAGTGAGTAGCTTTCCCTGGAAGTGGTTAACATGTCACAAATTCTACCAATCACTGTGGTTTGAGATAACTGTGTGTCAGGTTAAACATGTTTTTATTATAACTGTAGAACTAGATTGGTACCATCAACAACCAGGTTTTTCCTTCTCTAAACAGAGATAAAAATACAGGGCAGAATCCTTCATTTATTTCTGCCAAACTGAGATCTGCCAAATTGAGATCCCTACATTTCTGCCAAATTGAGATCCCTACATGCTCAGATCTCTCAGTAGGGAAATTAAAGATCTACATAGTACCAACCCCCTTTCGTCTCCATATATATTTTTTCCATTCTCTATTGTGACTGTGAATCGTGGGTGACCGGAGTGTCCCGAGACTGGGGGGGGACCAGATTCCTGACAGGAAGCGGGGGGTCTCCTAACAGCTGATCGCTGATGGTGGGGGGGCGGTCCCACAGTGGCCGAACCAGCAAGCCCGGAACCACCAACAACGAAACCAGTGAAACCAGAAGTGTACTTCCACCGGCATTTCTGGCTTCATGGCTGGTGCTTCCAGGGGGTGCACAGCCAATTTTAGGGGATGCACGTGCACCCGCATGCACCCCCTACACATTGCCAATTATATGAATGTTGCTAATACAAAGATGATCCCAAAACCTAGAGTACATACATACGCTTGGGGACATTAGGGGAAGGTGAGGTCATATTAAAAATGGCCAGCCAATCTAACTTAGTTTGCCCAGGTGCAGACATTACGCTTAGATCCCTAGTTAAGCTGATCTAAGTGAAAAGTTCAGGAAGTTTAGATTGGTCTAAAAATGGCCAACATGATCTAAGTTAACTGTACCTCTGAGAGAGTCTAACTTAGATTGGATCTGGCAAGACGGATCTAAGTGAACTTGTATACATTTTCCAGCACAGCCCAAGGGCTGGGAAAGCCCAGCTGCTGTCCCCAGTCCTGGGGCTGTGGTTTTCCTACCCAACCCCCTGGACTGGGCTATTTTTAGCCCCCCAGCCCCTTGCCCAGCACCTAGACAGACAACCCACCCTTGCAGACCAGCCAGCCTACCTGAACCTGCCAAATATCCCATCCTGCAAGCCACTCCCAGTGCCAGTTTGACCAGCATTTGCTGGGGGGTTGTTAGTCTGGGGGAGAGTTAGGGGGCTAAAAATAGCCCCTGGTCCTGGGGGGGAACCCCCTAGCCCCCCAAGGTCCCTGTGGACCCTGCTAGCCTACCAATCTTCCCAAGAACCCCAATGAAATGCATTAGCCCCACTGATCCCCCTTACCTCCCTGAAGATCCCAGTTGTCCCCCATTCCAGTTGTGGACCCCACTTGCCCTACTGATCCCCCCACAGACCCTACTTGTCCCCCCCAGTCTGTGGTGGGGGAGGAGAGAAAGACCAGATTTCTCAGACATTTAAATGCCTCAGAATGCACCTAAACCCCATGGAAAATCTGGGTTTGATTCCTTTAATGAAAATAAGTAAAATCCACACTTTGAGAAATGTTGCTTTTGCTGGCTGCAAAGATAATGTGTTACATGTAGATTTTTTCCTTAGCTATTTGTGAAACCAGTAATTTGGTTACTCTTTCAGTGACAAATGGTAGTAGGAGCAAACCCAGACATAAGAGTGCCCTTGCTACAGTTAGACAGGGTTCCTGGGGTGAATTTGATATCTTTTATTAGACCAAACCAAATAGTTGGAGAATAGTTATTAAGCAAGCTTTTGAGTTCAAAAACCCTTCGTCAGGCTAAGGAAGTTTCAGCAGTTGGTGTGTGTGCTTTCAAATGTTTTTTCCCTCCCTTTTAGATAAAGAATGCTTGATTCTTGCCTCCAATGCTGAGAAACCTATAGTTTCTCCTACAAATACCAGTATTACAGTGAGGTTGCCACCTGTCAAAACACAGCTTTTGTGCCCAGGCATAACTCTCCCTACTCCAACATATCTTGTGTACTATGGAAAAATTGCCAGCAGGGGTATGAGCTGTTCATCCGGACTACAGTGTAGAATAATGGTAAGACTGACTACTTTTTAGTGAATAGTTGCCTGATATAATTTATGAGCAGGTGACTCCAGGTCACCTCTAGGCATTTAATATTCTGTTATGAAACCTTGTACAAGCAATTTTTCTACAAGAAAACACTATCACATATTAACTTCCCACTCAATTAAAAACGTATCCTGGTGATGATCTCCTGTTCTGCTTCTTAGCAGTGTCTTGATTCTTTGATAGGAGCAGCTCCTCATTTGTTCCCAAGGTTCTGCAATGATATTGTTTGAGGGTTCTTTGGAACTTGATGTGAAATGGCTCGTTGATCTCAGACCATTTCCTCAAGGACACTTGTCTGTGTGGCAAAAAACACCATTGCACATAGCTCTAATAGACATGCTTGTTGGCAGCCATGGATTACAAAGGCACAGAAACTGAAAGAACCCAGTTCATCCCTGGGAGTAATTCACCAGTGTCCAAGTTTAAGTATATTGGTAGAGTGCAATATCATGGGCTGTGTTGTATCTGGTCTGTGGATAAACAGGGCCCTTAATTTTCTAATATTTCAGTCTTGCTGATGAAGCCTAGCTGAATTTTGTTTCCTAGGCAGGCACCATTCTGTTGTAATGGGAGCCCAGGGCTAGATAGCACATGTTACTAAACTTCTGGGTTTGGATAGTAACTGAGCAGAGCTGTTTAGTCTCCCTAGTGGCTTTGCAGATGCATACACTTATATTTGACACCTTTCTTGGTCAGATGACCCCAGAATTAGGCCCTAGTCCTACTATGCTCTTGGTTACTTTATATATTCCTAAAGAGTTCACTTGGCTGCAGGAGCCCTGGTTTCTGCTTTACAGCTTTCAGTGACAATATGGCAGCAAAGCAAGGGATGCAAGCTTAGGAGAGGAAATTTTACACATACATGTAGCTTACTTTTAAAACACACACAAGATTCTTGTATTTATGAAAAGAAGTAAATTCCTGAATACTTTTCTGTCATGTCCTCATCATCCTTGTGAGCCCTGATTTGGTCTAAGTCTTCAGGTCGGGTAAACCTTCTGGCCGTCTTGGTCTGGCCATCTTGCTTTTGGCAGCTGAATGGCCTTCCTATTTAGAAAAATAGCTTTCTTACAAAGCAGGATCTGCCACCTGTCGTGCCATGTGCTTTCATTGGAGAATTTCCAGGTTCTGATCTTCCCTGGTTGGTTTCCAAGCAGAAGGTTGTTTATGCTCTTCTTCTAGCATACCCCTTTGTTTCCCTAGAGTAGATCCATTCAGTGCTAATAACTCACTACAGCTTCTCAGTCATAATTTTTTCATTAGGTGCCAAGTTCCTGTGACAAAACTTATGTCCAAAGCCACACTAAATGCTACATTCAAAATGAAGGTTGAAATGTTATATATTTAAAATATTCACTGAACAAATTTTTCAGCTGATAGAAATTAATTTCCCAAACTGTCATATTGGCATCTTTCCTGATTATTTTATACAAACTATTATACAAATATATAAACTTATTTCATTGCTAGATGATTGTTTGAACTTGTAGTTCTTTGTTTACCAAAACATACTTACTGTCTGAGATTCTGCCTCTTCATTACAGGAAAGTCAAAAAAATATAACCGTTATTGAAGGCCTAGATCCGTTTTCAAGGTATGTCATACAAGTGGCAGTGAAAAACTATTATTCGGAAACTTCTGAACAGCCATCCTTGGGGAAAGAAACCATTGGCACAACTTTCTATGGAGGTAAGTTTTAGATTTCTTCTGTTTGGGGGCCTAATTTTGTTCTTGGTTATACTAATGTACTTTGTTCACATAATTTAGGGTTATGCCTGTGTGAATAAGGCCCTTTTCATTTTTAGTAATGATGAGGAGTGAGAAAAATAGGAAACTTCCTAACAAAACGTAATCTATTGATACTTTACAATATCCTGGAGGTCAAAGTATATGTCTGTGAGATTTGAATCTGTGAGCAAATGTACACACTGTCTAATGCTCTTGTTTGCTGGTTCCCTGAGAAGACATAAAACAAGGGCAAGATAATGGCTAGGCAATGACTTCTTTTGACTCTGGTATTGTCTTAAATTTAATGTGTGTGCGCATTTCTAGCTTGTATACTGCTCTCAGCATTAGCACTTCTTTAGAAATGCCCAGATGGGCTAGATAGAATCCACACATTGAGTGACAATATGAGACACTAGCTCATAGATTTTGAAGCTGATATCTGACACCATATAACAGAGAGAGCATTAGCACTATCTGGAAAATAGAAATGTCTATTTTATCCTAAAAATGTGATAATTTAAAATTTTCCTTCATCTTAAATTAGGAAGAAAATGGCCTATTCCTCATCATTGAATTCCTCATCTATGAATCTATGAATTTCTTTCATTCTTTCCTTTGTTGTGCTACTAAAGGCTATCTAAGTGAGCTTCCTTGACTTAGGAAACTGTTTCTGAAAACAACAAATAGGAAATGTTATTCCTAACCTCTGCTGTTGATTTGTGGCCCATGTTATAGTACAGGTGATATCAAATCTCCTCAGTTGCCATCTTGGGATCCACCCAAACACCCTATACATACACTCTAACTGCCTACACTTAGACTTGTCCACTGAAACCAGTGCACACAGCAATGGAAGTGGAGAGACATCACTCTTATTGCACTCTTGTTGTCTGCTAGCTCCATTGATGGATGTCTCTGACTGGATCTCCGGGAGTGGCAGTGGCACCAGCACAAATATACAAGCAGAGGTTTAATTAGCAGGGTTTGTGGGAAAACCCTGCTGGAGAAGCTGCAGCAGGTCTTCCTGTAACTTCATATGGGTCAACTGAACCAAACTGAAGCAAGATGCAGAGAGTCAGTGAAAGAATGTGGAAAAAGAGAGAATGAGGCACAAAAGTGAAAAATGGAATTTTACAGCATCAAGCTAAAATGAAATGGGAATCTCAGAACAAAACTCTAAAATCAAAACAAGACAGCAGAGCCAAAACAAAGCTCCCTCTCTCTCTCAAAAAAAAAAAAAAGGTTTAGGAGAAGAAAAATGTCAAATTTTAAATGTTTTCCTTTTGATGAAATTGTCTTTTCCAATGGAAAACTGTTTTCCCAGGAATTCTCTCCCCAGCTATTGTTAGACTGTGCATGTGTCCTGGCTTTTGTCCTTGTAGTATTCTGAGTATACTTATTAGTTTTAATTTTAATCAGATTCTATCAGTGTTTCTTTCTTGTCTTAGCTTATTTAACAGCTCAGACATCTGTGGATTCTAGCTCAGTCTTTTCTTTGTTTTCACAGTGTTTTCTTTGTTTCATATTAGTGAAGCTTGATTTGTTCTTTGGTTCTCTTCAAATATTAAGGATAGGAGGAGACTAGAAAGAAATAGGACTAGAGAAAATAAATGCATTAGGCCTGCCACAGAGTGTCACTCTTACTTCACATATTGCTTAGCTATCGGAGCAATAAATCTTTTGTTCTCCTTACCAATACAACTCATGCAAAATTAACTTAAAGAGTTTATGATCTTGTAGCCAAATCATAAGTGTATTCTATGGAAAAAATACATCTAAAAATAAAATAAGTGGTTCAAGTAGATAATTTACAAAGAGCTCCTTTTGATGTATTTGACACTCTACCTAGTTGAAAACTTAACTTACATCTTGTCTTACTGGTTAGTAAGAAAAAATATAAGGTACAGTCTGGGCATGCTGTAAACTAATTTATGGTCTTGTGAATTTCAGAAGTCTTTGCTTTGGCAAAATGGCTAAGTAACAACTAGCTGACATGGATATCAGATAGGCAAAGCAGTATATTTAATATGTTTGCCTTACCTAATCATATTTCCTTGGCAAATTTGCAAATCATAGCAGCAATTAGCAGTTAGAATTTTCTATGAGTTTCCTCATTTCATTTTGGTGCAAAGAGGAAGAACAAACTTTGAGTTAGTTTTGAAGAGATACAAAGAGTATGGCCAGGAAATCCCCACTCAGCATGGGACTGGCTGAGTACTGGCTCCATGCTCCCTGCCAGTCCTTGGGCTAGCACCCTGGGGGATCCTGGAGCAGGGCAGGAGCAGCTCTGTACCAGGTTGCTCTCAACAAGGAGTACATGTAGATGTGCTCCCAGGGAAAGCTTACTGTGCAGAATTTTGCTATGTAGTAAACCTTTATAGCATTAATAGCATGTGTAGACACACCCACAGTCTGTAACTGTCCAGATGATATTTCCTTATTACCTTTGATATGTTCTTATTACCAAAGAAAGGGGGTCTTATATTTAAGGAACTTAATTTTTACAGCACTGGGCTCATTTCTCCTGCACATGGTCTCTCATTTTGGGCATCCAAAAATATAACTCATTTTAAAAATGCAGGTCATAGAGGATTAATTTGAGGTTAAGGATACAGTGGAGCTCCTAATCTACAACTGCCTAGCTTAGTGGTTCTCAACCTTTTATACTTGAGGCACACTGTGTTGGACTAGAGGCATTCTATGGAAAATACCAGGTCTTAGTTTTCACTCATTTTTTGACTATGGAAAAAAAAATATAGCAGCTTTTTTTCTGTTGCAAAAAACTCAGAAAGACCACAGCAGGTCATAGTGGTTTTGACCACCAAGAATTCCTATTTGAAATCTTTGTGAATCATGTTTATACACCTAACAAATCTAACACTGTGTGTGTCTACACATGTGCTTTAATGTGCGTTAGCCTATTTTAATGTGTATTAAAACATCCCAAAATCCACGTGCTTTCACTAATGCACATTAAAATGGACTAATGTGGCTTTTTATACCTCACAGTGGAAGTACTAAATTTAATGTGCATTACCAAAAGTGCATTAATGAACATGTAGATGCGCCCAACTGTGTATCACACTGTGGTGCCCTTAAAAGGATCTTAAGGCACCTCAGGGTGCAATGGAACTCTGGTTGAGAATCACTGGTCTAACTATTAATTCTTCAGATCCAATAACTCAGGGTAGCTACTACCCTCAGAACATGTTTTCTTTATGCCCACACCAAATACTCTACCCCATCCTTAAGGCTGCTCTATACACAAAGGTAAAGGCGCAATGGGACCTAATGCATGATCCACACAATCATGCCTCCTGCCATGCCACATGTGCATGGCAGAAGGCATAACTGTGGGATCCAACATCAGATCCTGTCATGCATTATGGTCAGTATAGGGCGAGCCCGGGATCACCATCTGCAAATATCAAGCTCCTACAACTGTGAGTCCCACAGCTGGCAGGACTCTCAGCCCTTGGTGCACCCCACATGGAACCATGGTGTGGGGCACAGATGGGGCTGATAGTCCTGCCAACTTTCAGTCTTTGCAGCCATAGGACACTCTCATGACTGGGAGATTGCAGCACCTGTGGTTCTAAGCCACTGGGCCACAGACTATATGGGTAAATTAAAGCTGGTTAGAAACCAGCTATAAAGTTATTAAACACTTGCAAATGATAGCTTTATAGCTGGTTGGATGTTTTTAAGGCACCATAATTTATTTGCACATGTAACCAGTCTGATTTAATTGTGCAGTTAACCAGGTAATTGTGCAATAAATGTAATGTGTAGAGGGGGCCTTATGCTGACATTTCCTCATTCCCTTATCCCACACACAGATTTTCACAGAAGGAAACCACAGAAGATGTATACAAATATGGTTGAAGGTTTAGAAATGTGAATGAATATACACAGAAAAATACCTTTAGTATTCACACTACTTTATTTAATAATCTGTGTATATTCATTCAAATCCTTGCTAATATAAAAAAAACTAAGTCCTTTATCTGAATTAGTTTAGAATATATTCCACAGTATGAAGGTTTAATAGGGAACAATGCAATAAAATAAAAAAGCAAAGTATTATTTGGTTGCAACATAGCTGTTGTAGTTTATAGTTGTCCCTCAAGAAAAGTGATTAAAGTCTCATTGTTTAATACATTTAAAATGGGACAGAACAAAACACTGAAGAATACATTAATTTATGGAAATATAAGATTGATGATAACTTAGTTAACCTAATTGCTCTCTCTATTTTGAATTGTTAGGCTTCTGTGACATATATTTAATACTTTGTTTTTCTTTTATAAACTTCTGCCTGAGTCAGTTTGCTAAGAAAGTGAAGAAAATAATGGTGTTCATTATATAAAATATCAGTGTAGTGCACCTATGAAGTTTAGAAATCTCATTGGATTATAAAATGAGTTCTATGTACTTGACCTGCAGAAACTCTGACTTCTTTCATATGAACTTAAACATAAATATCCTAGAAGATATTGTAATCCTTTTTCTGAGGTAAAGTAACAATTTAAGAAACTCCGGCTCTAAAAATCAAGCAAAACAAAATGAAATCAACATCAGACTACGCACGTGCAACTGCCCAATTTATAGCCTTAAAACTACTATACGGTTTTTCTTGAAACTTTCCTTGTATTTCAAGAAGATCTACAAATGAAGCCAAGTTTCATGTTTCCATCTCTAGATATTGCTAGCTACCACTATACATAATTTTTGGTTGAAATATGTACGTATTTTTTCTTTTGTATATGCATTGCTAAGCTCTAAACATGGTATACATTTGAGTTGCTGACTTGGGCTAAGTACAGACAGTCAAAAAGATCCCATATCTGAATAGATTCAGTCTTTGCAGGTCAGCCTAACCTGCATAGATTGAATTGATAAGTAAATGAACAGACATTTATTTTGATTCTGGAAACGTAGCCACATGCCTGCAGTGACTCAGGCCAGAAGCCGGGGAATGCTAGAGCATGCCAGCCTGCTTTGCTGGAGCAGACATCTTGGGCCAAGGCTAGCCCACCCACCCTGTGAGGGGGGAGGGTTTGTGAGGAAGGTGCAAAACATCCTGGGATGCTGGGGGACTGTGAATTAACTTGAATCTGGAGGGCATCTGGGACAGTTCAATAAACTGATTTAGCCTAAATCAGTTAAGTCTGTATCCATCCAGGCTCATCTTAAACTGTTTTTGGTCATTTTGAAAGTGGTTTATGTGCACTGAACTTTTGTTATGTTACAGATCTGAACTAGTTTCCAGTCACTTATACTGGTTTATGTGTAACTTCCATCCCTAGCCTAGGTGTCTAGCAGAAAGCATGAGTTTTATGGCTCTGCTGCCAGGGTAACAAAAAACAATTTATATAATTTTGCTTTCTGGAATGGTGGGGCAGCCAAGGAGATGGTAGAATAGCACCTAAACATACTTTCCAAGTCTAAAATATCTAAATTGGAAAATATTATGTATCTAAAATAGTACCTCAAAATGTTTTTATACCAGCGTACAGTTTGATTATGCAAGAATGTGAATTTTGAGTGTATCGTTTTGAGGGTAGACTAACCACTGAAAATAAATAATTTGTCAAGCATATTTGATAACAAACAAAAACCCAGCTCTACAAGGTTTGTTTTTATTTTCCTTTTTGTTTCAGTACCAGAGGCAGTTGGCCTAATTGAGGTGCTAGTTCTGTGTGACAACACCATCAATATATCTTGGAGTGAGCCCTCACAGCCAAATGGACCTAGAGAATCAATTCGCTATCAAATCCTTATCAATTTCTTGCCTGCTATTCCTGCAACTCCTTTGAAAAAAAGTGAATTTCCAAATGGGAAGCTTGCCTGGTCTATTAACAACCTCCAAAGTGGAACAAAGTACAAAATTAAGGTATAGTTAGAAGTGACTTTTTATATGGGTTAAGCCTGAAAATATCCTTATACATCTTCAGCAGCAAATGACTAAGTCACTGTTTTATAAAGTAAGTTATATGTTCTAGCTTTTTCTCCTGTTAGGTTCTTGCTTTCCATCCACGGAAGAACTGGTTTTCTGAAAGTGCCCCTGTATTTGCAACAACTTTTGAGACTCCACCTGTACCAGTCAATATTATTGCCAGAAACACCAGTGTACAGCTAGAATGGACACTTCCTTTACACGTTAACAAAACCAGCTTTTGGTTTGAATTGCAGAAGGTAAAAACTTCCATTTTTCTTTTAAGGTGAAAAGTAGAATCTGTTCAACTCCTTAGGGATGCTCAGAATGGGGAAGTCAAGGGAAGAGTTAAGGATACTCACTAATTAATTTGGAGAATATGTCATTGCCCCTTCTAACCCTCCAGAAAGAGGCAAGGTAAAAGCAATGGTGCTAGGAACAAGGGGGAGGTATCCTGCCAGCATGTAGTTTCTAGGGGTGCATCCACATACACAGGCACGTGCGCTTGCAGCACTTAAATAGAAGTGTTGCAAATTTGAGCTGGGGCATTTTGCCTCAGCGCACGTACCTGGACATGCACTTTGGTGTGGGGCAAGTTGTGCCACTTGGTGCAAAATAACCCTGCCTGGCTCCTCCTGCATCTACGGCCAGGGGGAGCTAGAGTCTAGGGCCAGCACCTCTACTGTCCCCCACAGTGTAAAAAGCTGCCCTGTCAAGTAGCTCAGGGCTACTCACTCTCAGGAGCTTCTGGGGTCCAGCCAATTGGTACCTGGGGACACTACCCCTTGTGCCAGCTGGACTGCTGAAGCAGCCCTGAGAGTTCCCTGCACCCTCTACCCACTGCAGGGGTCTGGCAGTGGGGGCTGCTGCCTGGCTGTGACCTGCTGTGCACCTGCCAGACCTGGATGAGGCATCTGCCCCTCTGGGCTAGCTGCCAGTGGGCTGTGGCTTCAGAGTTGGCTTTTGTGCAACACTGCTGCCATGTGTGCCCCCTGCCCGGCCATCTGGGCAGCTATCACCTGAAAGATGTTCCAGGCATGGTGGCCTGCTTTGAACTGTCAAAGCATGTCCTCCTGGCCCCAATTGGCCAGGAGGTCAGCCACCTCCAGCTGGGCCCAAGGTGCCAGCTCTGAGCAGGCAGGGTCCTGCCACTGGCCTCCCTGGCAGGAATTCTGGTGTTCCCTATTGGAAAACTGAAAAATCCCTGATTAAAAAAACCCCAAAATCACTCTGTAAAATACCTCAAAATTCTGGTTCCTCCACAATTAAAACAAAAGACCACTAGAGAGAGAGAGAGAGTAGGAGACAGCGATCAGTTGGGCAATGTTTTATTGATATATCTACAGTGTTAAAGCAATTTGGAAGCCTACCAGTTCCCTGACAGGGTTTACAGCCCCCACACAGGGGTTACGGCCCCCTCCCCCCACAGGAGCCACAGCTCCCCCACAGGGGTTACAGATCCCCCAACAGGGGCCAAATGGCCCTCGCAGGGGCTACCATCCCCCCTGCAGGGCCCACATGCCCCACCTCCACTTGCTCCCTCAGCCCCTGGCTTGCTGCCCTGCCTGACCCCATCCCCTGCTGGCTCCTGCAG